TTTTTTTGGGGGGGGGGCATTGTTGAACTGAATTTTATAGTTCCAAGTGTGAAGAATATGATGCTTAATAAATGTAACTCAAAACATGTTTAGAAAACATAATATAAGATTTTATTTTCTTTATTCTCAAAAGAAATTCTTCTTTTCTAGTAGAACATTAAACCACATTTGTCAGCATGATCAGAGTCCCTCATAAACATTTTCCGAAACATATTCTTTTCATGTTACAAGAATGTAGATACTCCACGTTCTTTTAAATGATAAGATAGAAATATAAATTTTGCTAGACAGCAAAATCCTCTTTATCGAATTGCTTAGGAACATGTGCTCCATTTTTTCACAGAAAGATGAGGGCATTTCTCCATATAAAGAAAACTTCCATATTTGTAACAGAGATGGATTTTTACAGTGAGGGTCATCCCATGATTGTGACTTCCAAAATCCTATATTATACATATATATATGCATCAGCAAATTGTCACATGCACTGTCTTTTTCTTTTCTCATTGTTAACACCTGCAATCAGAAATTCTGTACATAAAATTACGTTCCAAGAAAAATGCTGCTTAGGTAAAGTTTACTTTAAAAACTTATATGAATTTCTATTCATCTATGAATCTAAAATTTTATTTCATTGATGACACTGTCAAGACAGGTAATAATTAACTTTATCACATGAAGACTTCAACTAAACCACCAGTTCTGAACAGCTAAAGTGCTCATGTTTACAATCCTTTGTTTAAAAGATCTTTTTTTCTGCTTTACAAAGTAAATGCAGAAATTGTCAAAACAGACTACTCGAATGAAATAATTAGTTTTCCATTAAAATCACTGCAATTTCATCCTACTGGCAGTATACCAAAAGCAGATCATTTTTTTTAATTTAAAGAGAGAGAGAGAAAAGTGCATTTGTGAAATATATTCAAAACTAAACAAAAGATTCGGTCTTACTGCTCTTTTCACCTTTCTCCTCTAAGTTCCCATTCTGTGACTGAAGGAGATTGGACAATATACAAAACCGAGAGTTCAAAAAAGCTTACACAAGCGGAAAATTTTTTCGCAACATGCTAAAACATTAAAATGACATGCAAACTGAATTGATCTAATAAGCAGTGATGAACTATACAAATTTGTCTCTCTGTCACTAACTTCTTTTTGCTTGCTTTTTATGCTTTGGAATACCTGTTATTTAAAATAAAATTTAAAAAAAAAATCATCTAGCATGACAGTCATACTGACTTTTTTTTTTTTTTTTAAATATTAGTATGAATCAGCTTTCAGCTTGATAACAGTATTTTCCCAACAAGACCTTTGATTATGCAACATATTTCTGAGTTAATGACAGTATTCTAAAGTGTACATGAATAATGTGTGGTAGTTTCTTGAACAATTAAACTGCATCATTATTTTATGTAATTTTATAATATTTTGTAAATTTTCTATTTTTTAAAACTTTATAGATACTTCTATTCTAAAATATTTTTTTGCTTATGCAGAGTTAGTTATATGCATTTTTCAGTTTTTGTAACAGGTAAAACATCCAATTAGACTCTAATATTTCGTTTTCATAAATTAAAATGAAAGCCCTTTGTTAAAATTTTGAAAGCTCATCTTTGAGTGGTATTAATAAGTGTAATAAGAAGTATTAATATTACACATGGCATTTATGTGACAGATTTAAAGTACTGAAATCACATACGTTTGGATAAAGTTTAAAAGTATAACATTTCAAGCAGAAGTGACAAATACTTGAAGTGCTGTAAAAAAGAAATCAATGAAGTAAAATAAATGTTTATTGAAACTAAACTTACATGGATTATTCAAAAACAAAACAATGTCAAAGGAGACCTCCATTATCCCAATCATGAAAACACAATTTAATAGAAATACATTCAACCCCCTTTTACATTCTGAATTCTCGGCATAGCACAACAGCATTATAAAACATGTGCAAAGTTTCTAATGTAAAATATAACCTTGATCATTAGAAATATACTGAAAATTAACAAAATAAGGTAATATTATATACATTTGCTTTAGTTCTGATTTAAAGTATTTCAAACAGTTATATATATAATGTTAATTCTAGGCTGCATACAGAATATGAAGCCTACTCAGATGTTTTCTTAACTAATTTACAAAAAACAAGTCAGCTGAATAAATTACACTTAATCAGGTGAAATAGTAAAATAAAGATTTTTAAATGGTGGCTCTATAACACAATGTATCAACACAGCTCTTGCATAATATTTCAATACATATAAATCATACAACTCTTTTAAACAAGGAAACGTTTGAACATATTGTTTCTCATAATGAAGAAACAACCTTTTCCCTGTTGTAGGTCTTAATGTTAAATTTATGTTCTTAATGAAATTTATGTTTTTCTCGTTGCAAATACCTTCTTCATTCAGCAAGTGTTTTAATCTTATCAAGATATGGAAATAACACAAAATTTTTATTTTACTAAAAATAAGCATGCATGTTCGAATACTAAATGGATAAAAAGTAAAAATTAGTATGCACAACATTTATGAACTTTTCTGCAGCCTCTACAGAAATTAGCAGTGTCAATAATAAACTACCACCCCCCCAAAAAAAAAGAAAATTCATCCAGTACAAATGTAAGCACACATAGAAAGCTCGTGAGAAATACATAACTGTCTTTAAGTTATGAAAGTCACATAAACAATCGATAACATTTTATCAAATTTTTAATAATGTGTTAAATATTTAGATATTTATATTTCACTTAAAAAATAAAAATTAGTCCCCTAAAGGCAACTGAGGATATTTTGCAAAATTATTTTTTACAATAAAACTTTCAAAAAATTCATAAACTGATAAAAAAAAAAAGAATCTGAAAAATATTCTTCAGAGCAAAGGTACTTTCATTTTGAAAACTTTCTCTAAGATGTTGTTAAATGCTTTTACATATTCTGTTCCACTGTGCAAAGTTTTCTGTCCACATTTAAAATTGTACAATCTGTAGATAATCACAATTTAATAAAATAATTGCTACATAAATTCAATTATTTTAACATAATGATTACACAATTTTAGACACATATTTTCCTAATAATAATTTATTTAAAACAATTTTTGGAGTATTTTCAGAATACAAAACAGAGTGATAAAACATGTAATGCCCTGACTTCTTTAAACAAGATTATTTACAGCTAAATATTATTTTTACAGGCATTTTGTTTATTTTCAACCATTTGCTTCAACTTACAACACAGGTTTCAGAAAAAAAAAAAAAAAAAAAAACTTAAAACAGATATATAGCTTTGATAAATGGCAAAAATATTAGTTACCATATATTCACAGCTCAATTCAGACTGACTTTATTACACAGAACCTACATGTTTATAAAAAATCTTCAACTTAAAAAATAACAAATTATGGTACATAATTATGCTCTTAAAAATTACACTACCAGCTAGTTTATTGATATTAACATTAAATTTATAAAAATCAAACACATGCAATAGGTTTCCCTTTTTTATATTAATGCTCATTTACTAAGTAGTTTATTTAGCATTTTAGAAAGAAACCACAAAGGTATATAGCTAATACTGGCATAGTAAAAATAAAATATTAAAGTATCACAATATGATTGACAGTAAAAAAGATATAATAAGCAGAAAAAGCAAAGAAAATTCAACACATGAAGTAAAGCAATTATATTCATTTGTACACGTACAGAATACTCAGCACCTCCAATGATTATCAATTAAAATATGAACTACAGACACTACTAATATCAAGCCACAAACATGCAGACAGTTTTTGAAAATTAAAAAAAGAAAACAAATCCAGGTACAAAATACTTCTAAGATGCAAGCTATACTATTTGTACTTTTATTTATGGTATGAAATATTATCAACAGTTGCTAGATAAAATTTAAATATTCATCTGAGAAGGAAGGTGATAATGGACATGTAAAAGACAAGTAAACAACCGTGGAGGAAAAACAATATGTATATTATATACATACACACACAATTAAAATCACTTTCAAAACTGTTTCAAAACTTGAATACACTGAATAATAATAAAGCTCACATGTTTTCAGAGCCATTTAATAAATTTCATTAAAAAAATTTTTCATTATTTAAATGTGCATCCATAAGCTTAGAACAGCTCAAAATTTTCCACTTCATGCACATATTTTATATACTACACACATAAGTTAGTTTCTAACATTTGAAATATGAAGTTACTGTGTGAGAGAAGCATTGCACATGGCAGAATGATTTCCCTTCAATTCTCCAATTCTTTCACATTGAGAAATGATGGTAATTCACTTTTTCCATTCATGATTTATACCGACAGTTTATACAAGCTCCAAGTTTAAGTCAAATAAATTTTATAAAAAAAAAAAAAAAACCAGAATATTTCAAAAATATGAATTGTTTCAATTTCTTATATACACTGTAAAATAAAAGTACAAATTTCTGAAAAATCATGGTTTAAAAAATAATAATAAATATAAAGACTGCTAAAATCACCCAAGTAATACAAAATCCATCAACTGAAATTATTATAAAACCAAACTTAAAAATTTGAATAATGCATCATATCTAGTAAAAAAACTTTGAATGAAGAGAAAACAGATATGCAATGCCCTTCAAAAAATAACATAACTATAAAAAAAGAGGTCTGTATTTTTCACATCAACTAAGAAATCAATGTGATTTTTAAAGTAATGTATTTCCATAAACAGCAAATTATAATTTTAATTAAAACCCATAAATTATGAATACTATTTCTGAATTCATGTTTTCACAATAATCGCAGCTTTAACAGATATATTTTAAATGCACTTTTTTGATTATATAAGCAATACTCTGTTTGCACAAATAAAAACAAACCTTTTCTTACACAAAATATAAACAAAAAGAAAAAACACAGAAAAGTAGATACCAGAGCACATGAGCATATCCAACATTTTTGCTGAATTCCTTAAGAAATAGTGCAAAATTTATAACGGATTAACAATAATATGAAGAGATGAAAGTGTGAGTTTAGAACATGAATAAGTCAGAAGTACAGGTATCCGCAACTCATACATGAGTTTTCATGCATAGTTCTTAAAACTCCTTTCATAAATGGCATACATGGATGAAATTCAGTTATTACACAACATAAATACGACATTAACATGATTCACACCTTTCAATAAGATAACAAAAAACTAAAATTGCATTTTAGAAAACTACAAAATGTCATTCAAAACTCTAAAAAAAAAGTCATATTTAATATTAAATTAATGATTATTTATTTATGAGTTTATACAATTACAGAAATTTTTGGCTGATAAAAAGATTAAGTACATGAAGCTATTTCTTTCTTATGTTTTAATTACCTGTGTATTCAAGTGCTTTTTTTAGTAAGTCAGGCATTTTTCAATCAATAATGATTAATCAGAATAAAGTTTAATAAGCACAATACATTTTTATAGCTTAGAACTTTTAAATATAAAAAATTTACAAGCATGGGCATTACTATTTTCTTTTCTGCAAAACTATAGACCATTACACATTTTAAAATTCTTACATATAAAGTATGGAAAAAAAAAAAAAAAAAAAAACTCACTTTAGTTTCAGATTACAACTCTGTATGATGTTTCATGCAACTTAAACAAATATACATCTTTGGTTCACAGAAGATTATAATTAAAGGTATGTACGATGTACTTTGATTAAATAAAGAGTTTTCTTTTTTTTTTTTTCCAAGTAGCCTTACAGAATTTATAGTAATTATATATTTTTAATTCAGGGAAAAAAAAAAAAAAAAAGCATGGAAATGAAATGCTTCTAATTTCAAAATTCAGAACAGGAAATATTTTTACCTACACAATGTACATCATTTCTATACATTTTGGTGCAAATGAACACACAAAAGTTGAACAAAGATACCTGTATCTGAAGAGCAATTCTGTACAAGCCTTTCAGCAGAATATGTAACTAAAATACTTCTGATAAAATCAATTTATCTTCCAGTAATGGAAGTGCTGGTGAAGGTCAATGATTAAAATGGTGAATGTCATATCTATATTAACAGGAAATCAGATCTACACTTGCCATAAAAAATAGTTTGAACTTTTTTTTTTTTTTTTTTTTTTTTTTTTTCCTGTGTGCCATTAATTTAAATCTCTTAAAGCACAAAGAGAAAAATTTCAATTTTCAGTTCTACTCACACTAGATCTAAAAGGATTACTCCTGCTCCTAAACATCTAATAAAAGACATTTCACAAATGCACATAATACAAGATATGAAATATATATCATATGATTAATGTTAAAATGCTTGAGAAAGGGAAATGATTCATTAAACAAATACAGTGAAATACTTTTGTATTTTCGATTTTAATGACAAATGGCACAATTATACCAATAATTTCAAAAGATATTTCTTAACTGACTTAAGACGTATTCTTAAGGCTGACAATATGTTTGTGTGTACTAATAACATTATAGTAGAATCCCAATTATCTGATAATCATAATCAACCTACCTGCTATTCTGTACATCAATTTATATACATATATGAACCTCACAAAAAGTGTAAAATTCAGTTTCTTAATTAATGGGAAAAAAAGAAAAAGAAAACTTGTAATAAACAAAACACACAGAAGCAATCTAACAGCAATTACATTTATTTCCTATATTATTTAAAAGAAGTAGTAGCAAAATAAACTAAAAGTTGTATACATTTTTCTTCTCATTGAATGAATAATAACAATACAAAAATCAAACATTTCAAAAGTATAATTGACAGATTTTATTGTATAATATCCCCAAAGGTCTATATTAAAGAAATATAACTCAAAATCTAATTTTTCATTAAAAACAAGTCTGCTGTCATACATATATGACAAATACATATACGAGAATGCTGAGAGCATAACAAGCAGACTTAAAAAAAAAAAAAAAAAAAAAAAAAAAAAAAAAAAAAAAAAAAAAACAATGTTTACAAAGATAATTCAGATCATTGGCATTCTACATTAAAAATGTAACAAAATGTAACACAATACAAATTGTTATAACAATATGAAACTACCAATATGCTTAACACAAACCCTAGGAAAGAAAATTTAACTCAATTTACAATTTATGTATATAAAAGGTTTCCAGAAAACTACAAATTTATTTCACCTTCATTGAAAAGGAACAGTATGCTTTATGTCCTTTTTGATAACAGAAAACGAAAAGATGCAATTCCTCAGACAGAAAAAGCTACATCAGCTTTTAAGGATAAATGGCGCTCACCAGGTTTCTCAGAAATGATATCAAGAACACCAACAGTGTACAAACTATCAGAGCTGTACCACAAAAGATCTGGTGATGTGATTTTCAATTCCGGAATGGATAACTCATGATCCTAAAAGGCAAATGCAAATGTCAATTGTAACATATGTCAATGGTAACAGTTTTTTTTTTTAACAATAATGACAGAAAGAAAAGGTCCAAGGATACATACAATATTTTAAAATAGTCACAACAATCTAAACTATCAACTTATCCAGTGCATAAAGTGTGGCTCCAAATTCTTGATATGGCACTCTGAGGGATATTCAAATCTTGGGCAACCTCCATTTGAGTTTGGCATTCCTTGATTCTACCAATTATTTTCCACTTTTCACATTCACTTAAATAATACCTTTGAGCAATAACTACTGAATACTGATCACTCTCAGAAACCACACATTTTAAACAACACTATAGATCGGAATTCAAACATGTGTCCATTGCGCACCATATTTTCAATCACTGAATTTGCAAATTTCTGACTCTAATGTATGAGCGGAAGTGCAATCTTGTGTTCAGTAGCATATAAATAATTGCAGCATTGGGCACTGGTTGCAACATTAACTTAGTGAACATGTTTTTTCTCATTATCCTTTAATTTTAAAAACCAGTGTATAAATATTTAGTGATAAAGCCGAAGTTTCATATTAAATAAATTTATAAGCAGAGACTATCACAGCTACAACAACCGTACAACAAATGGTGAACTTCTGTTTAATTCGGTGATCGCCAAACTGTTGATCGTGAGCTGGAACATTTTCGGTAGATAGTGTTACCACTTCAGTTGGCTGACCTTGATTCCTCCACTGAGCTGAGGTTAATGACAACAGCTGCTTGTTTTTCCTGCGCAAGTGCTATATTGTCAGCCTCATATCATAGTGACTGTATATGCAGAGGTTGTGCACGTTATATTTTTTCATGTGTATATTAGACATTTGCTAGCTTTGATAGTTTGATTCATGCATTGATACTAAGCTAAGTCTATTCTAATGATGGCGTGCTCAAGCAAAAAAAGGTATGACTTTATGAATAAAAACCGATTACTTCTTAACCTGTGTATCGGACAAACGTGTGGGTTTACTGTGCTACTCAAGTGTATCAGTTGGGAAGAAAAGAAACATCAAATGTCACTTAAAAACCGTTCACGCAGAAATTGAAAAGGATTTCTCACTGAATTCTGCTCTAAGGAAAGAAAATATAAGACAGCTAAAATTCAGACTTAATGTTAAAAAATCCACTTTTTAAAACCATCAAACAAGTAAAAAGCAGCAACTGAATTTCAAATACTGTTGCACAGAATAAGAAATCATATGAAGACGGTGAAATAATCAAAACTGCATTTTAGAAGGTGCAGATGCATTATTTGATAATTTCAAAAATAAAACTGAGATAATGTCTGTTATTAAATCTGTATAGCTTTCTGCAAATACTGTAATGAGAAGGGTTGCAGTTATGAGTTCTGACATTACCTCACAACTTAAAACTGACTTTGATCGCTGCAGCTTTTTCTCCCAGCAATTTGACAAATCACCTGACATAGTTGATACAGCTCAGTTGGACATTTTTGCAAGAATGATTTTTGTTAATGTCTGAATAAGAGAAGAACTGGTAAAGATTATACCGTTAAGAGAACAGGACATATTACAGATCTTATCAACTCTGAAAATATTCCTATAAATAAGTTGGTGGGCTTAGCAACTGATGGATCTCCTGCAGTGGTAGGCAGAGAGAGAGACCTTGTGTCGTAAAGACAACAGCTTTCCGAAATTTCTGTAATACACCAGGAGTCACCGTGTGGAGAGTTTTTAAACAGTCGTAAAAATAGTGAACAAGTATAGTCTCTTAAAAAAAAAAACTTGCTGGCTCCTGATAATCCTTCCGATAAAGATTATGAAGTGTTAAAAACAACATTGAGAAATCATTTAAATCCTAAGCCATTTAAAATTCCTAGCAGACATGCATTTTTAAATCAAAAGCAGCATGAGGGTGAAACAATTAGTGTGTATATGGCAGAGTTAAGGTCACTTGCCATATCGTGTACTTACGATCAGAAGATGTTTCAGGTCAGTTTCACTTTCATTTTTTCAGCACTAAAAATGCTGAAAAAATGAAAGCGAAACAAAAACAATTAGATGTAGGAAATTAAAACACAGTTCCTATAAACAGCATACTTTCCAGTGAGGTGAAAAATAGGAAACCGCCCATAATGGTCCAAGTGAACATAGAAGGAAAACCGGTAGCTATGGAACTGGATACAGGGGGTGCAGTATTGGTAATAAGTTAAAAAAAAATTCCGGCAAACTTTGAAAAAGAAAATTCAAAATACAAGTCTGGTATTTAAAACATATAATGGAGAAAAACTAATACCTTTAGGATTTACTACAGTTAAGGTAGAATATAAAGGTCAAAATAAAAACTTAAATCTTTACACTGTTAAAGAAAACCTTGATACAATATTTGGTAGAGAATGGCTTTCAGAGATAAATTTAGATTGGCCCTCGATAAAGTCAATTCTGTCTCTCAAAAGAGTAGTTTAAATAAATTATTGGAACAATATAGAGATTTTTGACAGAAAATTAGAAGAGATACAAAATTATGAGGTTCAACTTGAATTGAAGCCATATGTTTCACCAAAATTTTGTAAAGCTAGGCAAGTATCATTTGCGTTAAAGGGCCGGATACATGAAGAAATTGATCGCTTGGAAAAAGAGGATGTAATTGAAAAGGTCGAAACGTCGGAATGGGCAACTCCGATAATTAAGGTGGACGACTATACGACTGTGTGCCTACCACTCGGTGACAGTAAACCCAAATATTGTTACACATCAACACCTTTTGCTGACCATAGAGAAAATATTTTCATGTTTGAGCGGGGTAAAGCATTTTTAAAAAATTTATTTTAAAGCATGCATATTTACAAATGAAAGTAAATGCAATGCCGGCAATCTGGCAATGTTACGTAGATGGACTATTCCACAGAATGGAAGGATGTAAGGTCTTCATGGATGATGCACGGTGAATAACGGGGGCGGATGATAAGGCACATTTAAACCATTTAAAAAATTTCTATGTACTGAAATAGAAGAAGAAAAGTAAATCTTTTAGGATGAGATAAAATTTTTAGGTCATAAAATTGATGGAAAAACTATCAGCAATTGCAAAAGCCCCAAGACCCAGAAATGTCTGGGGAATTCATAGTTTTTTGGGATTGGTTAATTTTTATGGAAAATTTTGCCCTAAATAAGTGACAATCGTAAATCCCTTATATCAACTAAGAAAAACTCAGAATGGGTTTGGACAAAGAATTATCAGGAGAATAGAATTAGACTGCCAGTATGGTGGTCATATGGTGCTTCATATGGAAGTTCGTTGGTTGAGTAGAGATAGAATTTTACAATGTTTTTAAGAGTAACTTCGTGCCTTAGTAGAATTTCTGAAACAAGGAGAGTCCTTCTGTGAACACAGCACATCTGGTTTGGCTGCAGGATTTTGCTTTTCCTGCAAACATCACCATCAAGTTACAGTATTTGACGGCATGGTTGTTTATTTGGCTTTTACAAAACGTGAGAACTAAAAGAAACCACATTTTAAGTTATTGTGATATGTGTATGAACTTCTAAAGAAGGGTGCATCTTATATGCCGTCAAATACGGTAAATATCCTTAACTTGCAGCTTCAAGGATAAGGATATTGGCAGAACAATTTCAGATGTTGCTTCATTCTATAAAAACTGTGGGGAAAAAATATCATCCACAGTAAATACAAATACTTTGCCTGTTTGAAACAAAACCTTGACAAATAAGGGTCTTCAATGCCTCTATACAACAGAAAACAATACTTTAAAATTATTTCAGATTTTAGAATTCAACAAACGCTTCCAAGATTTTAAAAGGATTTCAATTGTTGCACAGCTTATCAAATTGCCTTTTACACAGACTGATGCTGAAGTTTTAACAAGAACACAATGCTGGAGTTGGAACTGACTGATTTTTCAAAACTATTCATCTGTAAAATGCTTTCTATAAGCTATGAAAATATTTAGCCTCTTGTTCCTTAAAATACCCAATTTTTGCCCAGGTTTCCTTCAATGTGAAGGCAATGTTCAGCTCTACATATCTGTGTGAGATTTCTTTTTCCAGTATGAAATTTATTAAAAATAAGTGTAGAAACAGACTCGCATATAAACACTTGAGCAACTGTATTCGAATGACAGCCATTACCTACTTTCCCAATATTATTAAAAAAACTTGATGACAAAAAAAGGCCAAGAAAAAGAGTTTCTTCCTTCTCATTAATGTTAATAGGTCTGATAAAAAGTCTGTTATTATATTTGTGATTTATTACTAACTATACTTAAATTCTTTCATATGCACAATTCAATTTCGTTTTGTTATATAAGTTTAATTACAATTGATTTCACATTTACTATAAACAAATGTAACATTAAAAAAAAAAAAAAAGTTGGTAGTTCTTTTGGGTAGCCCACAGTAGAATTTAAAAATGGTACAGTAGCTCAGAAGCTTTATAAGTTTGGTAACCACTGGTTTAACTAATACTATTAGGTCATAAAATCATGATTAAAGCTTTTTCTTAACCCTCTGAATGACATGATTTTTTGATCTGATTATGAAGTTAACACATTCACTGCCATCTATGAGAATACTTGTAATTGGCAAACAGGGTTTATTTGTCAGCTACGTGATAATTTGTTGTTGATAGCACTACCTAAATGATCAAGTACAGTTAATTATACAAGTAATCTATTACATTTAAATTTAAGAAATAAAACAACAGAACATAATTTAAAAATGTAAAACTACAGATAGAAGTGTGAACGGACACACCTAATCAGCTTTGGCAGCGAATGTTACGCAACATTTGTGGATTAAATATGTATATTTTTTACTCTCTGTATTCATAACTTTCATTTATTAAGATAATATTTAGGTATTAAGAAAACAAGAAAAAATATCTAAAATAAGGAAACAAAATAACAGACATCACATAATAAAAAATCTCACAATCAGATAAAAACTTGGGATTAAAACGATAAGCTCACTTTTTTCTGAAATTTTTCTCTTTTATTTCACTAACAGTCAAAATTTACTCAAATGTTCATCAAAATTTACAATTTCATGTCAACAGTTTATTTCTTACACTATGTTTAAATCCTCACATATGAAATGAATAAGAACAGGCTATTATTACAACTTCACTAGCATTAGAATTCACAACTGTAAAATACCTAAGAGCTAATTAATTTAGATCTTTCCATGACAACATATTGAGAGTTCAGTTAGGCTATTTACAAAGCATTCAATTATCTGCTTCAGAAAATAAATCATCACAGACCACTTTCTGCATAAAATCTGGTCATTATATCAAGAGTAAACCATTAAGCTCATACAGCCAGCCTGTTTAGGTGTAGTTTACATGATGGCAACTAATATATTTAGAATATCTATAACAATACTCGCTGCTGTCATTAGTAATCAAATGTATATTAACCAGAGCTTTTTCACATGGCTTTTGCAATGAAAATGATGAATGAATCTGCTGACATGTGTTTAATGAGATTATGCTAAATGCCAATTACATCAAAAATATTTCAGTAGATTACCATTACCCATCCGTGCGAGTAATATATACATTACCCCAAAAATTCCACATTTCAGATTATCAGTTTAAGTAAGATGACATACAGACATGGCAACATCGAAGCTCAACTTACTGTTTAGGTTACACAGAAAAATGTCAACCCAACTATTAAAGAGCTGGAAGTGTTATGGCCAACATCAAACAATGTATTGCCATTGGCCACAATGTGATTCCCTAGCCAGCAGGTGTTTGTGCAAGCAACATGATTAGTCAACAGAAAAATCTTACATCACACCTGCTTCTTTTTGTTGAGTATTATATTCTATATTCCTAGACTTTGTATTTATTTTTGGGAGGTAGTTTGAAGGTGTGGATATTATATCATTCTGGTCACCTGTATTCTAGACTTGGTATTGTAAACCTCGGTAATGCACTCTGTGAATGACCATTTTACACGAGTGCTAATACTCTTACACAAGCATTCCCTTTAACATACAATGATCACTGGGTTCACCAAGAGTTCCAGGTAAATGCTTAAATAGTTAATATCTTAATATTAAAAGTTTCATTCACACATAAGAATAGCATAAAAATACCGTATATACCCGCGTGTAAGTCGACCCCCCCCTTCGACATAAAAAATTCGTAGAAAATAAGAAACCCGCGTATAAGTCGATCCCTCACTTCCGAAATCGATCGAGAAACTTCGAAATTTTTTTTTTTTAAGCACTACATTTATTCAAAATCATCTGAGAAAAAAAAGTAAATATACGATAAAAAAATGCCTTGGTAAATAAACAAAATCAAAATCCTTCAACGTCCGATTCATGGTCAGATTCGCCAAACATTTCATAGAACTCTTCTATCGTCATTGGCTCATCATCATACATATTTTCAGTCTCGAACTCTACAATCACTACTAGAGCCTTCGTCGTCATTTTCACTTTCAAAAACAGTATCATCTTCCGTGCCGTCTAGTTCGTTGCTAATACAACATTTTTTAATGATTTTATAATCATTTCAAAGGGTATTTCGTTCCAAGCATCTTTAACCCACTGAGCAATTAATGTAATATCAGGCTTTTTAATGTTGCCTCCCTTTGTAAATGTTGGTCGACTGGAACTAATCCACTCTGCCCAATGTTTTCTAACATTTACTTTGAAGGGCTTATTGAGGCAGACATTTAGGGGTTGAATGACGGATGTCAATCCTCTCGGAATTACGGCCACAGTCGTTTTTAGGTGTTTTGTCACTTCTTCAGAAAAGTGTCTACGATAAGAATCGTATACTTTCGCAGGCAAAAGCGTCGCCAACATATCCAAAACGCAGGATAATTGGGGAAAAATGATCGTATATAGTAACCTTCTAGAATTTGTTCCGGAAAAGATTCGCGTACGTAAAATCTATCTGCATTTTTCCTTTTTAAAAGTTAAAAGAAATATTCAAAACTGTTCAGTTATTGCGTGGGCTATTTTTTTAAATTTTGACATGTACGCCTGTTAACAAAAGTATTTCACGAATGAACAATAACTATTATAAAGTCTTATACGTACGTAAAAACTATCTGCATTTCTCTTTTCTTCGCGTGTTGGCGAAACTGTTTTATTGCTCGATATCGATGGGTTGTTCGGGGGCCGAAAATTTTTTGGTTTAATCGAAGCTTACTCTAGTTAAAGTATGAAACTCTGTGATTAGTTCGTCACATAATTTAAGTCATGAAATTACTTCAAGTAAGTGACTTATTTGATAAGTCGTCCAATTTGAGTGCGAGAAGAAAACAACATTTATATAAAGAAATTTTTGAACTTCCGATTCTTTTAATTTTTTATGGCCCCGCGTATAAGTCGATCACCACACTTTGAAGTCTTTTTTTTGTCCAAAATATCTCGACTTATACGCGGGTATATACGGTATGTTTTGTTATTTCATATATCTTTAAAAATTTAATTTTTTAAAGATTTTTGTCAATTTTACAAAAAATGGAATTTAAAGCTGAAGCCAAACTGCATTAATATTTAAAGACTGATTTACTTTTCATGCTGGCTCTGAAGCAACACAACAATGATAAAATTTTACTATTTTAATTTTATACAATGCTCCAGAACACCCCTAATCTCTACTAATGAAACAGTGATAGATACGTTTAAGCAATGTCATATGAAGCCTTTGGGCAAGGAAGGTGGGCCTACATTTAAGACATTTTAGGAAGAACTATAATGTATGGAACACAAACAATATTGGGAGACTCGTGGGCTGAAATACAAGATTCAACAACGAAAAGTTCCAGGAAACAATTATGCTCACAAATGATGAGCGATTTTATAAATTCAGAAGAAACTTTGCAAACTATCATAGATGAAATAGTTAGCCTAATGAATTAACTAAAATGCCAATAATGAAGACATTAATGAGTAAACGGAATCTCACTCAGTACATTTGTCAAATGAATACTTCATTCAGCAACAACAGTTAAATGAAATATAAAATGAAAATGAGGAAGAAGAAGCCGATAAAATTGGCAATCAAAAATATGAATACGGCCTTATACATCTTGTCAATTTTTTACTAAATATTTAACTAACTCTTGATAAGTTTATAAAGAAAACACCTAAAAACATTTAAATATGCTTGGTTAACTTAAATATGTATATTGATAACTAAGTTACAGTTGGCAACAGTAGAAGATGCCTGGAGAAGACTTCTGGAGATGGCCAGGGCCCATCCAGGGCTGTCGAGCCATTGAAGAAGATAACTAAGTATTTTAAAATACAATTTTCTTTTCTTTTTTATATATCCCTCTACTTTTGAACATTCAACATTTGCAGAAAACCAATTAGGTGCGAAAGTCAACTTTTGGACTAACATGTACCACCTAAACAAAAATTGAAAACCTTACTACCACTACTCCTGAACAAAGCTCAGATTGCATAAATTTACGAGCGTTACAGAAAAAACTCAATCAAGATGTTAATGTTTTAATTTTTGAATTTAATAGTTAAAAATACTAGTTTCTTTGCGTACCACCGGTTGAGAAGCTTTGCTCTACATTCTTTTACTATGAATTCCTGGAAAGATTTTCCCCCCACATTTATGCATGGAGAACTTCTAAATGGCAAGACTGATGTTTTTTCAGCTTCAAGCATAATAAACAGTCTAATGTATTTCAAACTGCACGACTTCTAAGGGTTAGGGCCAAAAACTGTATTGTTTATACTCTTGGAAAAGTTAACACTCAATTAAAAACACACATATTGTTTTCACTCACCAACACTGATTTATAACAGCTGCACAAATTAGAGGACGGGTGCTGGAAAGACTTCCACAAAAGATTCAGCAATGATGCATTCTATATAGAACACAATAGAAAACATTTTAGTATTACAAATGAGAAGAAATAATTCTGAAATTAATGCTGTCAGAACAAAATAAATAATAAAACCAAGTTATATTTCATTTCACTTTGATACCAAAATGGCACATTCTAAGAACACAGTTAATTGCTGTATGACTGAAATGAGTTATTGCTTTTTTTAAAACTAAGAACAATTAAACCACCTTTCTTAAAGAAAAACTCAAATTTGTTTTCCTCTAGTAAAAAAATATCCAATATACATAGATAGATCTAAAAGTTTCCTGCCTCTCATAAAAAATTACTTGGCTATAAATTTCTCTTAAAGACATGTAATGACAATACTAAATAAATAAAATGGAAAGTTTCATTACATAAATTGTACATTTTCTTTTTCTGACTGTTTGCTGAGTGAAGTGGTGTGCTAATTTGTTCTCAAATACTTAAAAAGCGAGTTAATGTTCTGTGATTAAATTTTTAAATAAAGGTGAACTTAATCCCAAAGCAATAAAACAACACTTGGATCATCATATGCATGCTAATTTGTCTATTTCTATTCTACATTGAAAAAATTGGTATAAAAAGTTTTTGCATAAAATCTGTCGACGATGATCCTCTGAAGGTTTTTTTTCATTAGAGGCATTCATATCTGAAAAGACTGTTCATGCCCAAGGTGAAATATTGAATGATTGGAGATTAAAAGTCAAGGAGACAGTAAGCAACAACATTGGTTCTATCAAAATCCTTTGTTTAGTGCATCCTACACGGACATCTTTCCATGAATGATATGTCTACAAAATAGGAAAACCCATTTTCTTTCAGCAATATGAAGCTAAAACATCTCCCTCATAGTCCAGATATAGCTCCACATAATTATTATCTGTTCTCCAAACTGAACTCTGAATTTGTGGAACGAGATTTAATGATGAAGATTGTTTTGGACTGACTTACAGTTACGAACAGGTGACTTACAGTTATGGAGCCTTTTGAGAATAAACCTTAAAACTACTTTTTTGACGGTACAGAATTACTCATTAAATTATATGAAAACGGCACAGTACTGAGGTACAAAGAGATCAGATTAAAAAATAAACTCATAAAATTGGAATGAAAACAAAAAACTGTTTTGGTAACCAATTCAAATGTTAAAAACAGTTAAGCATTAAACTAATGTGATACAGTCTTACTTTGGATCAAAAACATATTTTCTTCATTGATAATACTTATCGAAAATGATAAACTTTAAATTATTATAATTTATTACAATAATAATTCCACTGAAGTTGCTACAATAGAACATTGTTATATAATAGCCTGAGGCTCAGAACTTGATAAATATTGATACAGAAATTAAGAAAGGTATTTTTTCTGACAATCACTTCTGTTATGATTTGAGAAAATTTTTACGATTAAAGTTAGAGAGAGATGAAACGAATTTTATACACTATTCTAAGAAAAAAAAAAACATTTTTACATTTAGAGAAATATTAAACTAATTTTATACAATATTCTAATAAAACCTATATTTACATATGGCTCTGAAACATGAAACTTTTTTTGTGCAAGATATTCACCTAGCTGTTTTTTAAATGAAAGTTCTAAGAAAAACCTGAGTGTTGTAAATATTGATAGCTTGCGGTGACTTAAATATAGCAATGATTATATAAATTATAATTCAGAAAAAAAAAAAAAAAAAAAGAAATTATCAAATACATTAAAACTAACCATACTAAGATCTATTGCTCATGTTTGCCAAATAAATTCAACATTTAAAATTTTTAACTATAAATCAATGGGGAAAAGAGTCAGAGGAAGGCAAAGGCTTTAATTGTTGACTATACTGCTAGTGATGGTTTTAACTGGGAAAACTTCGGTTAAACAGGTATGGAAGAGTGTTTTACGAAAGGCCATGGAGTCTTAAAATACTTTCCTTTCATCCTGACATAATTTCATTATGGTAGCAATACTTTCACTTATTGGATCTTTTCCACGACAGGACAATAAATTTTTTCTTGACATTGGAAATGTCTGTTAGGTAATTATTACCCATAAACAAAGAACCCAAACAGAATGTAATACTTTAAAATTTTAACTGACACATACTTGCAAACCAATGGTAGCAAAAAATCAGGAGATTTTTTTAAGAAATTAGAAGAACTTTTTCAATGACAAAAATATTTTTAATGATAAAAAACACAGAGAAAGAAAATATACTTTTTTACAATGAATTAACTTTAAATAGTAACTTATTAATGCCTGAAAGTTCAGCTGATTCTTAAATGCAAGTAGTTCCATTGGACGAGGATTCTAGATACACATGTCTCTAAACTACACATTTCCTTGATAAAATAACAGAATTAAAGTTATCTGTGTATGATTTTTGCGAGGTACATGAATATTTTTTCACATACATAACAAAGGTAAGAGATCACAATTTCTTAAAATATTTCTTGAAAGCATGTGAAACTCACAGCTCTTCCCCCCAGCAGTGAGACAAACGAAACAACCTCAATCTTGCTTTGTGCTCATTGACTAATATATGCCAGATGGCCCACAATAGCGTTTGATGCTCACCGAAGAATTGGAACATGATGTTTTAAAGTACATAGGCTCTCGCACACAAAGCTGAAGCATGCCATAATGTCTCGCAGATGAAAGGACTTGATACAGGATTTTTTTTTATATGTAATCAAGAGGAAAACCATGCACCTTCAGATACCCAAAATCACTTTTTTTTGGAGCAAATAATGGGCTTAAATATCAATATTAAGTGAAGCTACATAAAAATTATGAAAAATTTTTAAGTCAGGAGAAATATGTTGCAAATTGGTTTGGTGGGAGTAGTCGTAAATTCACCGTTTTCCACTTAAATCACTGACAATACTTAAATTTAAAAACAAGAACAACAAATTTAATTTAAAGATTGCCAAAAGATACCAGTGCCAGTTAAAATCTGTTCAAATGGTGTTTTGCATTTACTTCACAATTTTCAGATGAATTCACATACATAAGAGTATAAGATGAAAGTATGTTTTCTGTTGAAAGCATCATGTTAGTGTATACAGCTTTCTATTGAATATATATATATTGTCTGATAATAGCTCACTTCCACTTAACTATCAATGCAGATGAAATATGATTAGCTGATTTAAAGCAGATGTCTCAAACACAAATTGCATATGGATTGTACCATCTGAAAGCAGCTGAGGGGACAGATTTTTTTAAAACAAACTTTCAAATTTCATTTATTAAATATTTAACAAAACATACATAAGCAACAATAACACAAAGAAATTTTTTACTGCATTTCATTACTGTAATGTACTACCAGCTAAATACTCAATTTTTGGACTAACATCTATTTCAAATATTTGTAATATACTGAATAAAATTAACTTTTAACATAAACAAATTATGAAAACTTACCACCAAATTTTCAATGAAAATTTCCTTAGTGGAACAAAACTTAATAAACAAAGACGTCCTATTCTTTGTTCTTTATGCATCAATTCATTCACATATGCAGGAAACAAATTTGTATATTGTTCATAAATAATTATACATTTCTATTTTTTACTACAGCTCGATACTTGGCACCATTTCTGTTTGATAACATTTGTAGCCTTGGAGGAAAATAATTGGAAACTATCTTTGTCACAGATCGAAGATGCTCATCAGTTGGTTGTGCCCTTTTTGTTGGACTTATTAATCTTCATTAATTAATCATTAATTTTTAACTGAAAAAAAAAACATGTTCACACATAAATGATTATTCTTAATGCAAAATTTCGCAACCGGGGATATTTACCTTTGAATAAGATTTATATCACAATGCAATTAATTAGTTCCATTTGTGGATTTTCTAATACATTATTCAAGTCTACTTTTAATGTTGTTATGAATTTTGTATTTATTTAGCTATTTTTAGTAGAATATCTCGTAATAGTATGCTTTAGCTTTCCGGAAAAATCAAGGAAATACCCAGAATATTATTGTGCTTGATTTTAAAAAGTTTATAAAAGCTGGAGAAAAACATCTCAATTCAGTTGTTTAGAAAACTGTTGTTGTTTACTATAGCAAATGCACAGTGAAATCGGATTAGCTTTCTCTGCTTTGAATTGTGTTCTGTAAAATGTTTTAGTAGTTTACAATATAACTATTGTAAGATATTGCAATATTGTATGATTATCTCTGGCCGAGCATGGGCACCCGGAAACCTGAGGGAGAAAGTGCAGAATCGAGGTCTCAAAATTTCCCATGCAGCCATCGCGTTCGCGGCATTCCGCTAATATGCCGGAATTATCATGCGAATCTACCTAAGGGGAGGGATGCCTTTCTTTTCCTTCCTTCTTCCGTCCCCTTGATAAGTCTGTCTCCTGCCTGTTAGTATTCGCCGGAAGCATTTTGTATTTATTCTTGCAATAAGAATAAATGCAATTCACTTTTCATCGGATTTGTGCATTCAATTCATTATGAACCTGTACGCATGCAACAACAGTAAAGAAAATAACTTGAAAATTGACTCCAAATGATTGAATTCCTTAAACCTGCCTTTAAATTTTTGTCATAATAATACTAGTTTCCGGCTGTATTGTTGAGATTTTTCATTTTATCATAACGTGTTTTAACATTGAAAATGTGAGAATTTTTTTTTTTTTCATTTGTGTTTTTCATATTTACAATTAAACTTTAAAAGCTTCAACTGAAGCACACATGTCAGTGATAAGTGTATCCTTTCCTTGCAGCTCTTTATTGAGAATATTTAAATGGCCGGTTAAATCAGTAAGAAAATGCTAAATTGGATATTGATGTATCATCATCATAAAGCCTTTTTTTTCTTTTTTTTGGGGGGGAGGTGATGAAAATTTAGATTTCATTTATTAAATTAATTGTTTTAACACCCTGCTCCTTGACTTAATCACCTGAACTAGTCATAATAATTTTCCCCTACTCATTTTTAATTTCTTCAAGCTTGATGATTCGCAGCTTGTCCACAGATTTACTATTTTAATTACCATTTCCACAGTATCATCCATTTGAAAACATTTGGCACAGAGTGCTTCTTGATATATACTGCAATGTATAAGTGCAAAACACATTCCAAAGACTTTCTTCTTTAACTATATTTCTTAATTTTACTAGGTATTTTACTATTTTTTTACCATTCACAGTACCCCCACCATCACTTACACATCCAAAAATTTTATCCAAATTTAATTTACATTTATTTATTAAATATTTTATTTCAGAAAAAATATCCAATGTAAAAGTTTTCCCTTTCATAGAAATTATTTCCAGTAATTTCTTAATTAGTTGTCAAGAAATTCATCAGTAACACCTTGTGCGAAACCTACAAGCAGTCTGTGATGTCAATACTCTCACCAACTGCTTTTGAGAATGCTGCAAAATCTGTAATTGTTTCATTTAACTTAGATGATAAATCACTAGCGATTTCATTAACATGTTCCGCTATTGTGTTTGCTAACAAACTAACATTTTTAAATAACTGTTGTTTGTCAGGACCAAAAGGTTTAGCTGATTTAATTCAAACAATCTTTTTCAAATTCACCATCATCAATGGTTTTGAGCTTTTTGCAATGATAAGCCATGAAGGCAAAACTTGCACCAACTGTTGCTTAACTGATTTACTTGCTTCTACATTGTGTAAGCCAGATTTAAAAAAAAAAAAAAAAAAAAAAAAAAAAAAAAAAAAAAATTTTTTCCCATTACTTTCAACATTTAAAATTTTTCTTTATGATTTGTGTCATAATAGTGAGTTGTAACATACTCTTTTGGAACTGATATTCCATTATTATGAATAACACATACAATTTTATTGTGCATAACACCATAAAAGAATGCAATTTCTCATTTACCTTGAAAATCACATCCTTCTTCTGTTACTTTTCTCTTACCATTTGTTAAAGACATAACTTGTAGTTTTAGGTCTTGATTAAAATCATGGATTATCATTTTATTTACAACTTTAATTCAACAAAACAAATTTTCACATAAAAGCAACTATCAAACGCTTAGCACAATTTCAAATGATTGGTATTAATATAACTTACAATAACATCACGCATTTGGGGGGGGACATAACATAAAAAAGATCTACCAGCTGTTGGCTGGTGAATACATTTATTGACCATACTGACTTTTACATTAGCCTAGTCATGCAATTATACGAGGTACATAATTTTTTCATTTAACTGACATCGTAAATCTATTCATTCTGCTTCTTCATTCAGTAGAAAGCTATAATAAACACAATCCATATGTTTCTTATATTTATATTTTAAATTGTCATATCCCGAAATGGGATGTTTTAAAACCCTTTTCCTTCTTAACTTTTTCTGTGGTTCTGTCAGAGTGCTGTTATGTATGTACAAACGTTACATATATACTTTTGGCTGTATGCCAGCACTAGCTTTGAACTCGATTGTAAGGTAATGACTGCTGAAATGTTTGCTAGCGTCGTTCTACTTTCTTCATAAACATTCTATTGCTATCCACAGCTCAATGAATGTATGCTGTATCGAAATCTATGAGCACTGTATTAAGACAAACACATAACCAAAATGTATTGGTAGGATGCATAAAATTGCCTAGGAGTTGCCAGTTTGAGGCCACTAATTTTAAGTACTCAAATTTAACAACTATGAAATTTAAGGACTACAATAATATTTGTGACTAAAATGTATATAATTTCAAATTATTATAATTCACTCGCATATAATTCCTTTGAGGTGAATTAAAAGGGGAGGCAGAAACAAAAAAGTCTGAATAATTAACATGAAAAATTATAAATAAATACAACTATTAAGCATTAGTTAACAAATTAATTAATTAACTATACATACACATTTATTATTACACCACAAAACAAAAACTTTTCATGGCCCATCTCTTGTCAAGCACTTATGTATCACGACCCTGACTTAAAGAACCTTTGAAGTATGACTATGAATATTTTGAGTAAAAAATTCACATATTTTGTGGTACCAATAATTTAATTTTTAAAATAATATTAAAAAATACCTCTTTTCCAGGTAACACAACATCTTTTCTTCTTTGTAATTCTTCTATCATATCATTGCTAAGATAGCCATCACGAAGTAATTGGTATGGTGCTTCACTCTCCATCATATTAAATTCACCCCCAAGAAGCAGAGGTTTATTTGTACCACCATTTATTCTTACTATCTCTCTAGCCAAACATGAAACCTTGAAATGAAAGATATATATTCCATATAGCAATACATGTCGAACATTCAAATTAGTATGTGAAAATTTTATCTTTTAATTAAAAAAAAAAAAAAGCAAAAGAGACGGCCCCGCCCTTTTTTAACGTTTAAACGTTGTGTGTTTGCTTTAAATTAAATAAATATCATCATGTTCTTCACACTTAGACCATTAAATTAAATTCAATAGCAATATCACAAAAAAGAAACCTCAAGCATAAAACATCTGTGCTTGAAGATGCACGCGACGTTCATGGAATGCTTTGAAATCGTTGAATTTTTTGATCAAAAACTCGTTAATGTTTTACAAAATATGAAATAGATAATAAAATAATATTATATCACACTTAAAAAAATGCAATTCTTGCATGAAGACCATCTTTTTAAAATTTTTCTTTTTATTCACATCTCATACATAAAGCTTTTAGACTGAAATATAATCCAAGTATAATAATCAGGTAATCCAAAAAAAAAAAGAATAAACTAACCTAGTAAGCGAAAAATATCCGTTACATTCCGAATTCTAAATATCTGTTTACATAAACATTTATTGCAAGGCCTGTTGGGATAAAGATTTCAGACGATTGCAAATGCACAATCGGCAGATATCACACGATAATTTTATTTTCAACAATTTCAAAAGTGAATCGATGCAAAATTCCAAAACAAAATTAATAGCCCTTCTGGGTAAACTGCCTTTTTGGGCTAACATTTATATGTAGTAATAGCATTGCTCTGCAACACAGTAACACCTTTCATGTCTCCTTGACTTGTTTTTCCAAAATGTTAAAGAGTTTGTCTGCAGAAATTTAAGACCACCCGTAGGAAAACCAATTTAATGGAATTTCACATATAAAAGAATGAAATACAAGGTTATTTTAGTAACGTCAGTATTTCATAGCACTTCCTTCATTTTTAATCACTGCTGCAATCCTGTTAGGCACGCTATAAGTGCTGAGCAGTAAGTAAGCTTTAGAAATCTGTGCATCAGACATGCTTTATTGCTTCAACAAGTACCATAGAACTGGATGACTACCTATATATAAAATGTATAATCTAATTTAAAGCAATTTAATACTGAGACTAGAAGAATTTTATAGCTAGAAATCCTAGAAAACACTAAGTTCCACACTGAAACAGGATTTGATGTGCCAATCAATCCACAAAATAGCATAAAATTAGACGCAGGACAAAAAAAATTAAAATTGCACTTAAAAAATCAATAACTATAAATATAAAATTAAGAACAGCACATTTACAGAATGCAAAAATATCATTTATGTATGGCGATGTCAACAAAAACTTTTAAATGATTTACAATATGAAGGAGAAATTACCTGTAATGCATGAACACTAGTATCTGTAGGAGGAATCTGTACATTTGCAATGGTAATGGTATGATTTCCGATGACAGTGGTAAGCTGCGTAAAACACACATTTCCACATCTTTTTACATGTGCTCTTACTGCTGATCTGTCATTAGCATCCAAAGAAGAAACTTCAAGTTCCTAAAACAGTTATCATAAAATTTTAGAAGAAAATAAGCAAACATTTATGAAAGTTTACGACTTAGCACCGAGTTTAAAAAATAGATGAGAAACTATTTTACTTATAAATACACAAATACTATTTTCAAGCAGGTTTTCCTGCAGTCGTATTAACACTAAAATATGGCTTTACTTTAAAAGATTTGGAGTATTAGTAAAACAAATGAAAGAAATTGACCAGTTCATGTTAAGATAATCAAATGATCTTGCTTTCTAATGAAATTCCATAATTTCATACCAGCAGTTTATACATTTGGTTTCCATAAATAGTACTATATTACAACTGGTTGGCAAATTAATTAAGAAAGCATACTTGCCAATCTACGATACTAAAAAAATCAGGGGGCCTTTTTCTTTTAAGAAATCAGGAGAATTTTTCTCAACGACAAAAACTTTTTAAATAATAATATATGTAGAAAGAAAATACATTTTTAATAATGAATTAACTTTAAATAGTAATTACAATATCTAAAATTTTATTTATTATTTCTTAAATGTAAAAATACTTACAGACAAAAAAAAAATAGTTTTATTATGTGTACTTTCTAATAATAGAAAAATACTCCAATCAGTTTCCTTAATAATTAAATACTTTAAGCAGATCACTACACATTGACTGCAAAATACGAGTTAATATAATTCTGCAAAGTGGAATTGTGTTAAGAACATCGAATGATGGCAAAATGAAGCGTATAAAAGAGCAGACAGCTTTGTTAAGGTCCGAAGACAAAAATATAAATATTTGTTCTCCACAAGATAAACCTGCAATAATCGAATAAAGTGTCCCCTGTCAAGCTATTTTTTGGGAGGGTTACATTTAGATTTTGAGAACTGCCAATTAAATTGCTCTCAGGTGCAGAAATTACTTAATTTTTCTTACACCTATTTTTAACAATGGAAGCAATAACTACATCTCCATTTACTTTAGGTATTTTATAACTTTCAACAGAGCATTTTATCTTATGTCAACAATGGGTTCAACCACACTTACTGGCAAAGAAGTTTACCCCTTTTCACCACTAAATCTAAGAAGTACATTTCATAATCTGCATTTTTTTTTAAAGATGCCTGCAACATCAATCTTTAAGTCTACAAATCCTGGTAGTGCACTAAGTGCTAAGCAATTATACTAAAGAATTGCACTTTCTTTTAAAGTTTTAATAATTAGCTGCGCTACTATTAAAGCCTGTCAAATGTCTTCTAAAGCAGACACAGAATGTAAACTACATTCAATTTCTGAAGACTCGGAATTAAAAAACAAAACAAAAAAAAGGGGGGGGAGAGAAATACAATTTTGCATCGGTATTATTGCTTCCATCTGTAGAGAGGCAGAATGGAACTCTTTTAATGCAATTAATAACTAAGATTTATTTTTCATAAGAATTTCTTGAACCCATTTCTTCAATTCCAATTGTTTTTTCCCCTTGCACTTGTTTCTTAAACTGTTCCTGGGAAGCATGTGGAACTTACACTGCTCACTGGCGAGACGAACGAAATAAACAACCTCAATCTTGCTTCTTCTTCTTCTTTTTTTTTTTTTTTTTTTTTTTTTTTTTTTTTTTAAATAAGTATCTAGAGAAAACAAGTGCTTTCAGATGCCATAAATAAATTTTTGGGGGCAAATAATAGAATGTTAAGGCAAGCTAGATAAAAATCATGAGAAATATGTTGGCGGGAGTATGATCAGAAATAGAAAGAGTTGGGCAACTCTGAAGAAAGAGATGACAAAATATTTTTTAAGAAATAATACATGAATAAGACAAATTATGATGCACATATATAATGGTCTCAGTGCCCTAAACGCAAAAGATAATCAGCACTATTTATTTAGTTAAGTAGAAGGGAGAGGGGATGAAGAACATTTCAAAACTATTCTAACCAAAATAATATCAAGTTTATAGGAAAAAAATTAAATGAAATTCTAATGTAAATATTCAAAAATACAGATGACCTTATGGTTAAATCTAAGAGACATAAGTAGTTCCCTTTTTAGAAGCAAACAGAAAAGCACTGAAATGTTTCATTTGACATCAATATCAAACATTTAGTTTTATTAATTATTTAGTTTGGATGCATTTATCTTTATTAACTATCAGTATAAGCAATTAAGTAATGGTAAAAAAGACAGCATTTTTTTTAAACTACCAAAGCATGTTTTTCTTAACCTTTTCGCGACGGCGCACCTTTGTTTAAGACGCTCATGCAGGACGGAAGAGAATCAAAGGCAGTCACCGTACAGGACGGAGGTTTTGCATTGCTACGCCTAATTTTATAACAAAAATCAGAAAAACAAAAGTTTTGCTTCTAGCATCGTAATTTTTGGTATTTTAGATTATTACCTGAGCTCTTATATATGTTAAAATTAGCCCTTAAAACTTTTTTTTTTCTTTATTTTACATGAAAATATACTTAAAAAATTGCTTTTCTAAAATTCTAAAATAATTTTCGGAAGCACTATTCAAATTATTCCAAAGTTTTAATTGATAAAATCCATCAATAAAGTTTAAAATTAATAAAAAGAACCCAATAAAGACTATTTACAGTAAGAAGTAACAAAATTTAAAATGAAAACGAGTGTGGTAAATCTCGAAGCACAGAGAAGTATCACTTTGTAACTCTTTAGAAAATGAATCGGTACTCTCATTTGCGTTAGTAAATGGTTCACTAACCATACTAGGGTATTCTTCCTCTGATAAATAGTGCCTTTCCGCCATAATAGACTCAAGGTGAGGCTTTCCTAAATTAAAAAAAAAAAAAAAAAAGAAGAAGGAGCGGAAATATATCTGAAGGCAATGCAAAACGTAAAAAAACTCCACACAGAAACCCTAAAAGACCGTACATAGTAGAGAAAAAATATAGAATAAAAAAAGGAATTGGATATAAATCAGATACGAGAATGTTTTCTTCATTAGCACACAGTGATTTAAAGAGCCCACCTCTGTTTACGCTTTCCCTCTGCCCCCCCCACCCTCGAACAGCTGATGAGTAAATACCCAAAGTGAAGCCAGAATATATCAAACTCAAGGTCAGGACCTAAAACTGTGTTCATTTCAAAAGTAATGGACACAGGATGCCACCTAGTGGCCTTCAGAAAAACGTTCCACCTTAAAATGCATATACGCATCACCCGTCCTCTGAATGCGATCTTTACTGATGCGTGGATGGGACGCCCGGCTGTAAGAGACGTTCTTAGGGAATGCATATATGGGACGCCCGCCCTGAAAGGGTTAAAAATATAACAGCATATACAATTGAAATATAAAATGAACTGAAATACGATTTTCAGCAGAAAAGTTATAACCTCCCTCCAAAATGTGAGTAGAAAAACTTAATCTGTATGCTCAAAACTTTTACTTTAAACATATATATATATATGTTAAAAAGTATGTAAATCCAGCTTCTTTAATTTTCAGTAGTCTATTAACTCTCTATTTTAATTTGGATATTTTCTCTTTTGTCCTAAAAATAATAACTGCTTATAATGTATCTCTCTAAAACTGCATCCTTTACAATTAATTCAAAAGATTCTTAAATAATGCAGATAGCTACATAAATATTCAGCCAATAATTTTAGATGCTTAAAAAGACTATTAAAAATATATCGAAACTAAAACTCATTCTGAACAAATATTTCATTTGTACACATTAAATTCTTTTTCTAACTTTTCTCTTCTGCCACCATGCTTGTTAACTTCAATCTTTAAATATATTTCAAAATTGTAAAGATACCAATGTACTTCTCCAAAAACAGGCATGATTAGTGTGCCATCTGGTTTAAATTACTTGCAAGAGGCAAGTTGGTGACCTTGGCATGTCCTTTATTTTTCACTTTATCTATACTAGTTGAAAAATATTTGTCAATAAGAATAAAAAGAAACACTGAGTTGGCCAATATGTTTGCAAGCTTGTTCTTTCAGATATCAAAATCTGGCTTCAACATTTCCTAATAACTTCATAAACATATAAAACTTAAATTAGTCGATTAAACCATACCAGGAAGATGCCAAAATTGTATAAAGATAACTATCATATTTCAAAATTATGAAGCAAAATTAAACAATCACTATTTTTGAAAATATATATAATTTATTTAAAGTGGATTTACATCAACAAACACAGGCTGAAATGGGAGTTGGTCTGCATCTGGTGAGGCCTTCAGCAGTGTCACAAAACGCAAATTGACTAACAAAAAAATCCCGCTTTGATCTGGTGGGATGGCCGCTTTGTATCTGGTGGGATGGTATTATCTACCAAGAATGGCAAAGAACAGGATCTTTTGCCACATCCACGAGATAGCCCCAGACATTGCTCCTTTGGACTTCTACCTTTCTTTACACCTGAAGCTACATCTTGCTGGTGTTATCTTCCATTCTGCACAGGACATCCAATTTAACAGAACATTTTTGACTTGCTGCCACGTTTCCAAACCCTTTGAAAAACTACCAACACGCTGGCAGAAGATCATAGATTTGGGTGATGATTACTAGCCACACTAAAGGTACTACTTTCATGTTTTGTTTTGTTTTTTTTTTTTTTTTTCCAAATTTATTAAAAACATTTTTCGGTTGAAAACTTTCATTACAACTAGATATAAAATGCAACTGTAAAAAATCTAGTAAAAAGCGTCAATTTTTTACTGAAAATACAGTGCTTGATTTAACCACAGAATTTAAACTTATTAAACTATACAATACAAAGTCCGAAATCTGGACATCCATTATCCGGAATGATCTAAAATCCGGACCTCAAAACTACCAACAACATTTTTCTGGTAGGCTTTATGCATTGATTCCCCTCCCTCCGTGCATGATACACCCTCTGGAGAGTCCTGATTCTTAATTTCACTTTGACACTAAATAAAATACCTTGCTATTGAAGAAGCAGTCATTTTAACATAAATTTGTACAATTAGTAATTTGGCTTCGTTGCTGCATATCTGCTTGGCACGCATCTCAAACCGA